CTTTATATTTTGTTGCAATGAAACACTCTCTTATTCGTACAATATATATCTATAAATAAAACAGTATTATTTAGCAAAATGTCAGAGTATAATCTTGATCGAGTAGTTACAGTTATTTATTTAAAAAAAATTCTTATTCATTCAGATCATGTTCTACCTTAAATTCCTCAAATGAAGAGGAATCGCATGTGCAATAATTTGATAATGTGACCTAAGTTCACATTAATAATATTTGCTCTATGTCATGTTGATTGAGCAAGCTCTATTGAGGTTCTAAGTCGTATGCTAAAAAATTTTCTTTCAGACTTGGAGTTATCTTCGACGATTATAAATCAAAATTTTCAAAATGAATTAAGTATGATTGTTGACAAACTTTGACTTCATACCCTAGGATGAGACACAAGATTCCTTGAAAAATAATAGATGTGAAGGTTAGAAAAATATTTGTTCAGAATCTACGAAAAACATCACGTTTCATCAACTACTAACATAGGCATTTACCAAAATAAAGGTTGGCAATTTTTAGTAAGATCGTCAATTGGAATAAACATATTTATCCAGCAATCAAGTATCTTTATCCAATAATCTCAACTCTCAAAATTGGTTTTCAATTCGTCTAGACTCGAGAAAAACAAATTAATATATGTTGTATAAGATAATAAGTTAATTCAAATAATCAAATGAAATACACTGATATTGTTCAAATGATAAGACATTTTAAATGCACTTAAAATATATGTGTATTGGAGACACTCTTTATCAATCATTAATATATAAGCGATAAAATCTTTAAAAATTACACATTCAACGACCATGTTAAGACAAAAAATCCTCGATAGTGTGTGTGAATGCCTTAGATTGAGATTCTAATTCAACATATAAACAATGACCACCGGTTGAGGTTTAGTATAAACTTCAAAAATTAACAATTGATACATATTATATAATATACTAAATTTAAGTGTCTGGATAAAAAAACAAACATCCAAAATGGAAATGAGTCGAGATTAGAGAATTTAGTCATCATGAGAGATACAGTGTGTGTCAAGTTTCAATATGGATGAATAAATCCAATAATGAACAATCTTTACTAAGAATTTCTCACTAAAAAGTCGTAATTTTTACAACATTGGTCGAGAGTTTGTCCAAACTCGAGGATCATGAATGTGTATTGGATTTCCAAAGGACCTAAAATCCCAATCCCTTTCGAGGGCTAAGTGCCTCTGATCACAACCATAGGTGCTAAAGTAGAATGAAAAAGAAGCCAAAAAAAGCAAAAAAGAGCATAACCTCCGATAAGATGAACATAATAAACCCATATCGAGCTATGATCCTGTCATCCCTACCTTTTTATTCTCCATAAAGGGGTCGGCGGGAGAGGATAAGAAATAAGTAGTAGGATCTTAGTATTTGCCTCTTTATATATTATATATCGAACAATAGATAACCCCAATGGTTCTCTGGCGTTATGGGGGTAAAAGCGAGATCTCTAGATAATTTGAAGTCTAATATACATACATACATATATATATATATATATACATGTATATGTAATATCAAGGTATACTATACTTTTTATTTAACTCAAGATACGATAGAAGATAGGTATTACGAAGTATGTGCATAAATTAGAGGTTACAGAATTAGGGACTACAGTTTACCTATTATAGGTTAGGATATAGTATAATACCCCAAAAAAATCCGGTTAATTCAGGTCTAAATAGTAAAACTCAATGGTCGTATGGTAGTATGAACGCAAGAGTATAACGTACTCCTGGCGCACGCTAGCTTGAACTATATATGTGTGTGTGGTTTAGGTTGGCGTACGCTAAATATTAGTGTTTTGGTTGACAAATTTTGACATAAGTTCTAAATGGGACGTGACAGCGACATAATTTATGATTCGAAAACCGAAGCATCACAAGTGAGTGTGCTAAATATTGGAAATTTCAATATAGATATACTACAAACTCTTTACAAAATATTTAGAAGATCCAAAATGATTTAAACATATAAATTATAAAATAAATCTCTCCGGCCAACGGGCCGGGTAAAAAGCTAGTAATTTATTATAAGATATTAAAAGAAAATTATTGACTATGTTTAGAGATGACGTCACTTGGTAATACTGGAGGATCACGTAGTTCTGGAGGAGCTGGAAAGAGATTGAGAAGATTCCTTGGGCGCCCCATTAGCGCTAGTGCGAGAAATAGGGGCCCAAATGATAGAGATGAGCCACAGCCACAGCGAGTAGTGACACCGATGAGTTTGAGGGACGACGGTTTTCCTCAGTTTGATTTTCAGATGCCTAGTAGGGCTGGTAGTGGAGCTGGTCCCAGTCATGATCATGCTTCACCGTTTGAGTCTTCAGATGAGATTGATGACGAGTCGGAGGAGTATGAGTCGGATGCTGTTGAGTATCGCATTCCACCAGTCAGTCCGATCAGAGACAGAGGTGCCCCCAGCGGATCGTCACATGTCGTTACTGGGGTTCATGCTGTTACTGGGATCTATAGAGACCATGCGGGCCGTTTCTATAGAGCTCCACAGCCTGGTGAGGGCCAGAGTGGTACTGCTGATGTGGGAGAGGCCTGGGAGCCTAGAGGACCATGTCCTGGTGGGCCGAGCGACCCGAGTTTGCTCCGTAGCTTTCTTGGGCATGTTGCCCACCATCTGTACACTGGAGAGGCTGATAGAGGGGTGATCACTTGCTACGACAGGAGTTTGACCCTTCGCCACGTTCTCGACGGTTATGTGATAGCAGATGATAACGCTAGGACTACCGTAGAGACATTGGGCCTTGCTCACCTCGTTGATATCACCTTCCAGAGCGAGCTGGACCCTTCTCTCATCTCGGCATTTGTGGAGAGGTGGCAGCCGGATACCAACACCTTCCACATGCCGTTTGGAGAGATGACGATCCTCCTTCACGATGTGGCAGACATTCTTGGGCTTGCGGTTGAGGGAGAGGCAAGGGTAGTGGATCCGAGGCAGTTGGAGAAGTGTGCACTGGAGACTGACATCCGAGCACTACTGGGATTAGATCGTGACGATTCTGAGTACGGGGAGCAGGTTAGCGAGGTTGCCAGTCTGTCTAGGTGGTACAGAGGATTTTGTTTGTTGGGTGTGGGAGCTTTGACTCATTTGCAGCAGTCTGGTCCGCCAGCTAGAGAGGCTCAGTGTTACCTTCTTTTGCTGCTTGGGTCCACACTATTCGTAGATAACAGTAAGGACCGCGTTTTTGCTGTTGTCAACTTATTTGTGAAGAGGCCGGATATGCTCGGAGAGTACGCGTGGGGGGCAGGAGCACTTGCGTATCTGTACAGGCAGCTTGGTATTGCCTCCCGGGCTGAGGCTAAGGGAGTGGCGGGTTGTCTGACTTTACTACAGTGTTGGATTTACGACCACTTTCCTACCTTGAGGCCTAGTCGGTTGGAGCCACGAGAGCTGGAGCAGGGGCAAGCAGGAGCATTCAGGTGGGGCGGTACAGCACCCCAGTCGACGAAGAAGAGGGATGCACAAATGTTGGCTTATTATCCGCAGGCGATTGATTGTTTGACCCCTCAGTCAGTTTGTTGGACTCCGTATGGTCAGAGTCCTTATCTGACGGTGAGACGTACCTTGTATCAGGGTCTGCTCAGATTTGCAGAGATAGTAGAGCCATATGATCCCACTAGGTGCCTCCGACAGTTAGGCTACGTGCAGAGTGTACCGTATCCCCCGGAGCGTCCGCTTGTTGTGCGTCGACCTGCTTCCACGCTAGGATACTCTCTTAGCTACCAGTCTGTTTATGATTCGTGGTGGAACAACTTGGGGGCGCATAGTGTGCATCTGGACCTTTATTCTACTCTGGTACGACGTAATCCATGAGAGTCTACTGAGGATTACATGGGGTGATACATTAGGCACTCGCACCCACAGATACTAAGTGACAGCCGACCTCGTCACGACATCACGGATGCTGATACGGTTAGTACTTTCATATTTGAAATTATTTGTATTAAGTAAAATTTTGTTTGATTGTAACTAATATGTATTTAAATTATATGGTTTTTGTTTACAGTTGTCAAGCGAGATGTGGATTGAGATATCTCCCGTGATGGATGCTGCACAGGGTAGTAGGGAGGAGTGGATGGCTAGCGCCAACGAGTACTACGACTTATGTCATGGAGTTGGGGACATGTGGCACGAGTTTAGGAGGAAGTCGGGTTTTCTACCACCTCCACAGTAGTTGTATGATTTTTATGTCATATGTATGAGTGTTATTTGTTGTTTTTAGACGAGTTGACTTATGTTATTCTGTTGTTCTACTACGACTGATGTTATGTGGTGTTCAGTTGCTTATTTGTTGTTTTGAGACTATGACTTATGACTTATGTTATTTTTTGTATCTGATTATGACTTATGTGGTTTATGTTGTATGTTTTTATTATATCATGTTTCCATGTGACGTAAACAAACTTCATTACAATTTATTTAAAGTGAAGACGTTCATTACAATTTATTTAAACTGAAGACAAGTACAAATTTATTTCTTTGGAACCCTCTTTTTGCGCGATGGAAAGCTATGAGCCCCCCCCCCCCCCCCCCCCCAAGATCGAACCACATTTGACTAAACGGCGCGGAATATGTATCCCATCCATCCACGCTTTCTTGGTGACCGCCTGGCCATATGCCATGTAGAGGGGGCATCGGTATCTTGTCCGCCGGGAAAGAGAGGTTGATCCAATGATCCTAGACGAAATGCAGAAAAATGACTCCTCTGGGATTGGTTGCCCCAGATATGTTGTCCACTGGCAGAATGGTACAGTTGTACGCACTTGGTACTGGCAAGAGGTAAATAGTGTGGCAAATACGAATAGATCCACACCCATCATCCAATGACGTTGAGTCGTTGGTGCTGTAGTAGCGATGTCAATGCGTCTGATTGCCGCATTCACAGATTCACCGTAGATGGGTGTGTATCGCCAATCGTGCTCACAGATTTCTTCAGCAAGTAGTCATCTCACCTCTGGGAACCCATCTTGATTAACATATAATGCAAAACTAAGTGCACGAAACCCACAATGACCGTCTGGCACCGGGTCGTGGATGGCAATGATAAGGTCCCGAATGAAGACAGGAAGCAGTTCCATGTGTGCGTAATCAGACTGGGTGCTGGATCCAGGGATATCTGTGAACGAAATAGATAATCAGCACATATTCTACATAAACTATTAATATAAATAACTACACTTAAGAAAATTTTAAATTGTACCTGTGTCAGGATCGTTGTATTTGTTGTTTTCTTCGCGATCATCACACTCCTCAGCGGCATGGTCGTCTGACGGGTACTCGGATGTCTGAGTCCCCGTGGACTTGGTACTGGTCGACTTTGTAGACCCCGACGTTGTGCTTCCCGACTTCTTTTTCATGTCTTTCTTCTTGCCTCGCAATATCTTTTCCCACCACCCTTTAGTTCTTCCAGTTGATTTTTTGGTTAGGCGTCCCTTTCGTGATTCGTTCACTTCTGGCTCGTGAATGTTGTCTTTCGCCGGGTGGAGACTGCGAAACACATTCTTTGCTGCTTTTTTCGTTGCCTCTGGTCCTCTCCGTACAACCTGATCAACCAACTCCTGAAGGTGACATTTAGCCTCCTCCTCCTGGGGCACGTACGCCTGAGCATTGGGTGGATGCTCGTATGTCAGTGTACGCCAATATATATGAATATCACCTGGGTATATCTCTATGTCTCGCGCTCTGCCATCCATAACTTGACATCCACACCTCAAGCCGTGTGTCACAGAGAAATGACATGCACATCGGGAGTTCTCATTTTTTTCCAAGCGAGCCGCCAATTCTTCTTCAGCCTCCTTCATTAATATAATTGTCTGCATGCTGACTGCCCTTCTCAAGTATGTGAAGGGTGTACCACTGAATGATGAAAGGGTTTTCTGTCTAGATTTTTCCAACATCATCCTAACCTCCCCGAGTTGGTTAGTAATGTAGCGGTGGTTTCCTTTCCATACAGTGTCCATAGATCCCCGCGAGTTGTGGAGGAAAGTTTTCAAAGCCGAATGTGACGACTCAACTCTGTTTGTGCTCGTATTTCCTAGATGAAACACATTTTTTGTATGACAAACTGCCCACTTTTCTCGATGATGCCACCACACTCCCTGTATGTATTGCAACACACGTGGCTCGTGATTGCCCCAACTTGTTCTAAAGCGGCCAAACGCGTCCAACATACCTTGCTCGGACCAAGAATAAAGCATAGGACACCAATATTGATCGTACGCCTCCTTGACCAAATCCATCTTGTCCTTCCCAAATATTTCCAAACACTTCTTCTGCACATTGGTGTTGATGTGCCAAACACATAGCAAATGCGGGGTGCGGGGGAAGACCACAGAAACCGTAGCAAGTAGTCCACCTTCGTGGTCGGTGACGATGACAGTGGGCACGCGTGGATGGAGCAATTGTTGTATGCACTCCAACAGCCACAGATACGACTCTTTTGTCTCATCCTTCATGAGAGCACAACAGATGTTGAAATTCTTCCCAACTGGAGTAGCACCTACGACCTCTACCCATGGCCATTTATATGCATTGGTCTTATACGTTGAGTCGATCAGAATCATGTACGGCCAAGCCTTCAACATCTGGATGGAAGTTGGATGGGCAAAAAAAAAAAAAAAAAGATGTGTAAGCACGTCGTTATTGTCCTTCATAACCTCTGTATGATAATTCTCACGTTCAGCTGCTTGCAACGCATACTGCACTGCATTCATCTCGCCCATCTCGTCTTTCCTAGACTTGGACCCGAGGTTATACATCTGCCTTTGGGTGTGATGCCCTTTGTCACCCTTCTGCTTGTTAATTGTCTGCTTCTGTTGCGACGGAGGTACCCCAGCATCTCTCATCTGCTTAAGAGATTCTTTATCCTCCTGACTCAATTTATTCATTTGACTGTGGCCCTCGGGATAAAAGATCTTCTCATGATTGTGATACCCTCGCCTTAAACAGGTTTCTTGCTCAATCACTGCTTGTATCTCCCAGAATGAAGGTCCATCAAGAGCATCTGGATCAACCAGTAGTTCTTTGATTTTAACCTTGAACATGCATCCCGATCCTTTTGAACTTGTATTTCCACGACTCTCAATGGAAGGATCCGGCTTGTATGACTTTCTCTCCCTACTGCATTTGTCGCAATACATATAACACATACCCAATACTCTATTGTTGCGCAACTCACGTGGCTTCATCGATCCCTTAGTTACAAAGAAACCAAGAGACATCGCGATGTTTTTGGTCACTGTTACAGCATCTTCGAAATTGTCATATCGGACGCCATTGAGAAAATGGTCTGTGTAATCACCAATTAGTTCAACATTGTAATCCATGTCCACCTGCAATTATGATTTCACAACTCGTTAGAAAGGTACAAATTATATGATTATACAAAATTAAACTAAATTAATTAAATCTACAAAATAAAAATAATTTGACGATAAGAAATTTAATTAAATATAAATTATTAAACCAAATTAGCTCTACAAATTAAATCTAAACACAATAAACTAATTACCGCTACAACAAAACACAATCACTTAATTAAACTAATTGTGCTTCAATTGACTCTACAAAATTTAACTAAATGAAATAATTTAATTAACTCTAAACAATAACGATAATTTGACGGTAAGAAAATTATTTAAATATAAATTATTAATCTTCTTTAGCTCTACGAATTAAATCGAAGCACAATAAACTAATTAGCGCTACAACAAAATACAATCGCTTAATTAAACTAATTGTGCTTCAATTGACTCTACAAAATTAAACTAAATGCAATAATTTAATTAACTCTAAAAAATAACGATATTTTGACGGTAAGAAAATTATTTAAATATAAATTATTAAACTTCTTTAGCTCTACGAATTAAACTAATTGTGCTTCAATTTACTCTACAAAATTAAAATAAATGCAATAATTTAATTAACTCTAAAAAATAACGATAATTTGACGGTAAGAAAATTATTTAAATATAAATTATTAATCTTCTTTAGCTCTACGAATTAAATCTAAACACAATAAACTAATTAGCGCTACAACAAAACACAATCGCTTAATTAAACTAATTGTGCTTCTTTAGCTCTACGAATTAAACTAATTGTGCTTCAATTGACTCTACAAAATTAAACTATATGCAATAAATTCATTAACTCTAAAAATGACGGTAATTTGACGGTAAGAAACTAATTAGCGCTACAACAAAATAAAATCGCTTAATTCAAACTACATATGAATTTAACTATGTAAAATAGAAATAAAAGCAATAAATTAAATATAAAGTAGTAGCTCTAGAATTAATAATATGTCTCAAATTGAAAAAAAAGACACTGCCCTATCGCCGTCCGCTTACCGGCGTCGGACCCCGTCCAGGAGGAGGTCGGCCACAGGGTTTACCTGATTCGCTGGTCCGACGATGGGGCGTGCTGCCGTCCAGTGGCCGACGAATTATGCTGACGAGATTGGTCCAGTGGCCGGCGACTTAGGCTGCCGTCCGGTGGCCGTGAATCTGGCTATGGTGTTTGTGGGGGGTTGGTGGTCGGGACTCGGGTTGTGTGTATGTTCTTTAAAAACCCATTTCAACGAATAGAATATAAAGAAAAATTTGGAGGGAAAAATTGTCTTTTTAGTGTAATTACCCGGGCGACAAATAGTAACCCTCTTTTCTTTAGTATTGAAAATGGTGTTGGTGGAAATATATGCTTTTGGATCTAAAAATTCCAGTCCAAAGTCAACTTTATCCGGTCCAAACATTCCGAATATATGCAAAATGGGCCAAGTCCAACATCTTCTACCACAGGGAAAACTAAAAACGGTAGAAAATTTACCAATCCGAGAAATGTGACAGCCAAAACTGTAGTGAATAAAACCAAGATTGTAGTGTCCGTCTCCACTCGTGGAATTCACCTCGGCAACGGCAACGGCGACGGCGACGACGACGAAAACGACCACCGCGACAGCCTGCAGCCACCGTCTGGAAAGCTGCCATAGAACTCTCCCTTAAATCCGAACGTTTCTCTTCCTTCAATTCGTTCACTACAACGCTCCTAATCGCTTCATTTTGCGCCATCTTCCTAGGTATGACTCTCTCTTTTCAGTATCCAGCTCTTTATCTTCATCGTCCCAATCCCCAAACCCTAGCAAGCTCCTGTTTCTGAACCCATCTGTTAGGTTAGAATTCTTCCGTAAAATTTATTTACCTTATACGAGCTAGCCTCGGGGTTCTCTTTCCAGAATTAATAGTTGATCGAACATTCGCATCCCTTTGCGAGCTTGAGTTGCTTCCTGATGCGTTAACCTTTGAGTTTACTTTCTTCTGTCTGGAACTTTCGTGTCTCTACAGCTTGTCTTGTCCTTGCTGATTATATCTTGCATATAGAAATTGATCGGTCTTGTTTCAGAAATTTGTTCTTGTTGTTTCTGTTATTTGTTAATGTGATGCTTCTCGCTAGACTTTACTCTTTCTGAATGTTCCTGTAAGCTCTTCATTTTGACTTCGTTATGTTCCAGAGTAGGTGGTTGGTTTTAGGCTTTAGGAGTTGGGAAATGGTCATTCTGTTTGCTAATGGGTTAGAACGTTGTTCTGTGTTCCAGTCCTTTCAAAACCAGGAGCTGTTACCTTGGCGTTATGGACGGGAACAAGCGGAAATCTTTTGATAAGCAGCAAAATAAACAGTTCCAGAATAACGGTCCCAACAAAAAAGTAAAATGGAACAACCCCAATGGTAAATCTCCTGTGACTTCACAACCTTCTGATACTGTATATCGTATACTCTGTCCTGCAAAGAAAATTGGAGGTGTCATTGGAAAGGGTGGCAGCATAATAAAAGCTCTAAGAGAAGAAACACAAGCAAAGATCACTGTTCCTGTTGCTTCTCCAAGTTTAGATGAGAGAGTAATTATCATATATAGTTCTCCTGAAAAGGTTTCTAGGAAAGAGAGTAATGGTGAGGAATCAAGTGCAGAAAAGAATGAACTTGGAACCCTGGTACCTCATTGTGCTGCCCAGGATGCTCTCCTGAAAGTTCATAAGTGCATTGTAGAGGATGATCACATTGGTGGCATGGCATCTGGCGATGTGAATGAAAGCAATGTTGTCTCAGCACGGCTTCTTGTTCCAAATAATATGGTAGGATGCATTTTAGGTAAAGGTGGCGATGTTATCAAAAGATTGCGTAGTGAAACTGGTGCTAGCATTCGTGTTCTTCCCCCAGAGCAACTTCCCACATGTGCCATGAGTACGGATGAATTGGTCCAGGTAAATTATATGCTCTTTCAAATGTCTCTTTTTGCTTGAGTAACCATTTTTGGTACCACAGATCTTCATTATGTGTGCATTTCATTAGATGCTTTGCCCAGAGTTACTAGTTTTCTAGTAGTGGCTCTCTTATTTTTTTCGAAAACGAGTCCAACTCAATCTTGTCTGATGTGTTCACTTAGTAATAACAAAATTCCAAGTTAGCAACCTAAGAGCTTGAATATGCGAGTACATGTTAATATGTTATTATTATTATTATTATTATTATTATTATTATTATTAGTAGTAGTAGTAGTAGTAGTACTACTACTACTATTATCATGAAAAGTCCCGGTATAACTTAGTTTGATGATGGAATTAGAGGTATAGAACACTGGAACTTGTTTTGGTGCTCATTCATTCTTAGTCGTGTACCAGAACTAACTTATGGCTAGTCATCAGAAGGCATTCCAAAGTGAGTTCAATAATTTTGTTCTAATTATCTGTTGTCCACAGAGAAATGAGTTTGTTGCATCCCTCCTTTTCGACTTCCAACTTTGTGGGTTTAGTCTTTGTTATAAGATGCTACATATATATGTTGAGAGTTTTATTGTACCAAGGGTAAATCTGGAGGGTTTCGCGTACCCTTAGTATATTGATGACAATATGGAAGCTCAATCATTCTCATTTAAATATGTGTTATTTTCATACCCGATTAATTATGATACGTATTTTACCATTTTCTCTCCCGAATTAGGGTGGGTCCCGGGACCCACCCTCTAACCCTCTCCCTCCACCCCTGACGGTTATGATTCGTTGAAATATATACAACAAAATACATGCACCATCTTTGGGTTTATGGTTTATGATTTAGATAGTTAGGATCTAGAATTCACTCATTAAGGGTTAGGGTATAATATCATGCTCCAAAATCCAGTTAGCTCGAGGTCTAAATAGCAATTTCTTACTAAGAGTATGTAGCACCCTAGATTTACGTTGGGTACGATAGAAGCCTCTGTATATATGTGTGTGTATGATTCTTGTAGGAACAGGGAGGATGGGACTCTCTGGTTCAATTCTCCCTAGGTTCAAGCCATATGGCCAAGATTCACCCCTCAAGAAACAATCGAAATGTCTGCTTTTGCTTTTTTCATTTATAAAGTTCACTTGGATTCTGTTACTAAATTCTGAAGGAGAGCTTATGTTCTGTATATAGATGGTATTATGGCTAGTTTGCAGAACTGTATTGAACTTCTTTCAGTCACCAAATCGAACATCTTGTACCGAGGAAAAAAGTGATGCCATTTCTTCACAACGTATGAAAAAGGAGCAGAATATTGAGGCATAGACCTCCTTGCTTATTGATACAGAAACCTAACTATACTTTGAAAGAGCTATTTTCGCGCCCCTGATTCTGCGGAGGTTACTTGATTCCTTGAGAGGCAACTTTACCATGGACTTAGTTTGAATATGTATAATTTCGTACATGTGCTTAATGGCAAGCTCTGATATCACGGACTGGGTCTAAGATCAGGGCACTTGTATTCATCAGAGTCTGTTGTCGTAAGTCCAATGTGCCTTGGCACCCCCTCTTGCTAGGGGCTTGGAAGAACTGAACATCGAGGGTCGGAGCCTTGTCTGACCTGCTTGATTGCTGATGCCATTCTGTTGGATAATGTGGCAGAGCTTAATCTATTGAAGGACCATGTTTGTAACTACCATGCCATGGCCTTGTTTTGTCTCGTGTAGACACTAGCAGGACGACACCTTAGTACTTAGCGAAACATTCATTTGAATGAGTCAGGGGACTTTTCAAACTATTGGTTTCATGCCAGAAACCAAATGCAAGTTTTTATTCGTTGAGGATGGGAGATAGTTCGATAAAATTGTATGTACGATACACTGGTGATCATCTGAGTTTTGAGCTCATTAATGGATAAGGTGTTCTTTGGTGTAGAGGATGTGAGAACCTTTCGTTTTCTTTCTCAAGAGCTTTTGTGATCATCTGAGTATTGACATCTTTATGCTTTCTGCTGATTTCGAAGCACTGCTGGTTTTCTGCATGGTGGAATACAGGTCTTCTGCAATTTATATGCCACATGTGATAAGCTGATATAGGTACTGCCGGTTAACTATCATGAGACAGGTGAAATTGTCGCAGCTGTGATGAAAGGTTGTGTGGGTCATCATTGGCAGCATTTACACGTGTTGAAGTTTCAAAGCTCTGGATCATATTTAAAGGGTAAGTGAAGGAACATGGACCATCAAAGCACAAATGATTGGTGATGGCTGCAAAGGATATGGTAGGCCATGCAGAAGAGGTGGGTGGGAAATCTTTTCTTACCACAGTTTGTGCAAGTGCTGGAAGATTGTTCTATCAGGGGACAAAATGATTCAATGGACTAAATTGAGCTGGAATTCCATGCTCTGCACTTCTCTCTTCTGAATTGTTTCAGAGATTTATGTGTCTGAAGTACAGACCACCAATGTTGCTCCGTAATGTGGACTAAATTAACTGCTCTATGTTATGGAGTTGAGCAACTTAGCCTATAGTTACTCTATCCCCGTTTCAAGAAAAGTTTCATATGATCTGACCACAACTTTCTTCGACCAAACGTTCTAAGTGCCCCTTGACCTTTAGTCTTCCCAACTTACCATGGTATCCCCTTGGATTGTTTGTGCTAATTTGAACAGTTGGCTTCGAAACCAATCAGTAATCTGGATTTTAAGTGATTTAGTATTTGATGTTTCAGTGTCGATGTCTGACAGAAGAACTTTTTTTTTTTTTTGGGGTTCGCGAAGCCTACTTTTAATGGTTTTGATGTTTGCTTGATGACACAAAGTCGTGATGCATGAACTCTGATCAATTGACTTCTGTAGTTGACTTATATTTAATTACTGCCACTCTAGCTTTTGTGGCAAATGTCTTTTATTGTAATGGTGTCAGAGTTGCTCTATTTATGGTAATTTTGAGTCTGCTAGTTTTCTTCCCTTTTGATAGTCGTAGGCTATAGAATTGAACTCTTGAATGGTAGGTCACTCTCGTTGGTAGATTTTAAATCCACATGGTTATTCTATTGTGTCCTTCAGACTACTCAAGCAGCTTTCCGCTTCTTATCACCTCAAGTAGTCATATTGGATTTTAGATCCGGGAACCTAGTAACAGAACCTATCGTAATCGAGCTATCTGGAAGAAAGCTTATGTTTGGTATCATTTTATCTAAGTCCTCTGGCGTCTGTGGCTGCCATGTAATATTCATGTTTATGCACGAGTTGACTTCGACTAACGCTTCATGGGATTTAGGTTAAAGCACTTTTGGTGGATGAAATTCATTCTTGGAATTTCTTGCTAAATCAAACTGTGGTGCATGTTCCAGATATCGGGGAAACTGGATGTGGCTAAGAGGGCTTTGTATGAAGTCTCCACTTTGTTGCATCAAAATCCACGGAAGGATAAATCTGTAGGCGGTCCTGTGCCTTTTGGTGGTCAAACCTTTTATCCTCCTCAGGGTCCAATGCTTCCCCCAGAAAATTCACTGTGGCCTCATCGGAACTCTTCTCATAGTATGCCTCCCTTGCCATGGGTGGAAGGCGATGTTCCCCCAAGACATGGAGATGAACCTTCAGCAGAGTTTTCGATGAAAATTTTGTGTTCCGTTGGAAAAATTGGTGGGGTAATTGGAAAGGGAGGTTCTAATGTAAAACTCATCCAGCAGGAAACAGGAGCTAGCATTCATGTTGAGGATGCTCTGTCAGAGTTGGATGAGCGTGCTATCCGTGTCTCTGCCTTTGAGGTTTTGCATGTTTCTTTTATTTAGAAAGCTTCTGCTTGTCTTTCTAAAATATTGATACTGGAACTTTCTGCAACTGTTTCAGGCTCTGCGGAACCCGAGATCTCAAACCATAGAAGCAATTCTTCAGCTTCAGAGTAAAACTAGTGAATTTTCTGAAAAGGGAACCATTACAACTAAACTTCTTGTGCCATCCAATAAGGTTGGCTGTATACTAGGACAAGGAGGGCAAGTTATCAACGAAATGAGGAAGAGGACCCAGGCGGACATTCGCGTTTATTCCAAGGATGATAAGCCCAAGTGTGCATCTGACGATGAAGAGCTTATACAGGTGATGGTTCTGTTGAATGGTTAAGGATCTACTTTTCAATATGTGAACTTGTCTCTGATATTTTTGTGAACCAGTACGCCGGTGCTGTGATCTACTGTTTCAGTAGTTGAACTGGTCTCTGATGCTGCTGTTAGCCTTTATTACTGAGGCTGACTCAATTTGTTATTTCAGATATCTGGAAATACTAGTGTTGCCGAAGATGCTTTGGCAGAGATAGCATCGAGACTTAGGGCTAGAACTTTGAGAGACACTAATGGGGGAGAAGATCATAGGCCTGTAGGACCTAACCTGGGATTTGGGCCTGGAAGGAACATGCCAGGCAGAAGACCTTTTCCGTCTGGCTCCATAGGAGATGTCGGCTCCAGTGGATATGAACCAGTCATTAGGGTATTTTTCTTGTTTTTTCAGCCTGTGATTTGATTTATTTTTCTGAATCTGGAGACACTGTATGTGGCCTTTGGGTACTAATTATGTGCTGATGAGTGTCTTCTCCAAAAGTTAATTAGAAGGATGAGGTTTTCTGTCATGTTTAGTCCTCGTACGGCTTTCCTCCACATTCAGTGTATGATAAAATTCAAAGATTACCTTAAGCCTCCCTCTCTTGTCTGTATCCAATCTGTATAACTCAAAGTAAGCAAATGTTTGATGTTGTGGAATTATTAGTGCTGTTTATTAGCATTCTGCTGCCATTTTAAGCATCTCAAAGGTCTGAAATTATTATTATGCATTTTTAAGCTGCTGGTTGCATATAAGTGGCTCTACTGTTGTCTCTCGATTCCATTGCGATGAAAATTAATAATTGTTCTCATGATTTTTGCAGGCTGGGATACGTGAACATGAGCTTCAGAATTATCCGATTCCTCCAAGGTCTTAGTCATATATTTTATGTTCGGCATAACATTTTATCATTCTGAGATTGGATTTTGATTTATTATTCTTTTGTCGTGCTAGATACTCGCATGGACATAATGGCTTTGATCCTAGTATTTCGAGTAATGGAGCTTATTCTGAAGCGTACAACAGACGAAACCATGTTTCAAATGTTAACGAGGTATGCTAGATATACCATTCAATCTCAATAATTTTATTGCAGAGTGATGTATTTAGTAGCCCTAAAATTTTATCCTATTACAAAATGATCCCGATCGTTCACAATATTGAAGTAGTTGTTACAACTTAATTTGCCAGAAAACTGGCTTAAGTCAAAGGAGAAAATTGTAGGGAAGGAATGCGTTAAGTTAGGCAAATTGGACCCAAATTTACCATTCTTTTTTCCTGGTGAAGGACTATAATTTATCTTTATCCTCGTTTCCTCTAGAGGCTAGAAAATTTTAAAATGATCCTACTCATGGACTAGCTACCATCAGTTTTTTTTATTCTAAGAGAACTAGCTGGCATCATATTAGTTTTCTTCACAGAAATCTAGTATTCACCATGTACAGACGGTTGACCCAGCAGCTGTTCTGTCTTGTCTGACATAATTTTTGATGGATGAGTGGAAATCTGTGTATTGAGCTACCACATGATATTTCCTTGTGCTGTTACTAACCACTGTATTCAACACTATGTTTCGAGAAATTAATCATCCGAAGGGGGGCCGATTCTCCCTTCAGTTTCAGTTTTAGTGCCTCCAGGAAAATCCTAACTTGACAGCTTCTGTTTACTTTTAGGTTTCTGGAGGTAGGATGACACTTCCAGACATCCAATTTGGGGGCTCTGGAACTTTTGTCGAGACACGCATGTCTTCAGATCATCGCTTGGCTGCCCCGACACATGGAGGTATTGGTCAGCACCCATACATGACAACAGCTGGACCCGACATGAATGCTCGCCAAGGTAACAATTTTCAGCAGAGCTCGTACCCGAACTCTCACTCTCACTCTCAGCAGTTTGCAGACGCGAATCCTCGTACCACATTTAGCAACTACAACGCCCAACCCAGTGGGTACCACCAGAACTACAATAATGCTCCGCAGAGCGCCCATCATCATCCAATCGGACAACCACAGAGTCCCTATAAAATGATTGCTCTCCAAGGCAACGGCTATTCTAACTTCAGTACACCACAAGGCGCCAACTACCATAACGGTACGCAGCAGGGAGCTTACCAATACTGATTTTGCCAAGCTTCTTTTTGTGCCATAACTTTATACAATCCTAGTTGCTATGGTGGTGGATAATCTGACAGGGCAGACGACTGATTTATGAGTCTTTCAATCTTATTATTGTAGGAGCCTAATGAGAATGTTAAATGATGAGGGATTATGAGTTCACTCCAGTGTACTATTGTTGGTACATTATTGGCCACTGGTTTCTCGTGAAAAATGAAAATGATTCAAAATAAATAGTTCGATTTGCGTTGATGAACTTGGCCTTATCAGTCAATGGCGAAGCTAGAAATCTGAACCAATAGTACGCTTTTGAGACTTTGAATCATGGTTATTGAGGAGGGTGGACTAGATCCTTACGAACTAATCCGTTTTCCAATATTGTTACAAATTTTATATATAAAGGACATATACAATTGAAAATTGTCGAGGGGGACTATGGCCCCTCCTAGGATCCAAGTCCAGTCCATCATCAACTTGGGAGAAGTCCTTTGTTTGTTTGAAGCTAGGTAGGAATGGCAATCGACAGGTCCGGGGCGGGTTTCTTGGTACCCAGACCTGCCCCGCGGTAGGTCGGGTTCAGGTTGGATAATTTATCAAGGGTCGCACGCAGGTCGGGGCAGGTCGACCTAATGGGTATGCAATTTATATGAAAAACATTAGAAATATTCGTTATTTTTATTATAAGACCAAGAAAACAAACATTATTATCATAAATGTAGTTAAATTATTAGAGAAATTGAGGTTTTCACTAATTTACAACTTTATTATAGCTAAATTATGATGTAATAAAGGAAAAATCCTAAGTAATTTGACTAAGATTACATGTAATTTAGGCATGAACGGGTCGAGAATGGGACGGGTCAGGGCAAGTTGGGTCGATGAAAGTATCCATGCCCGCCTCGCCCCGCCTACGGGGCGGGTCGCGCCCGTCCCTAAACAAGCCAAACAGGTCGGGTAAAACGGATCAGGTCGAAATTGCCATCCGGAAGCCAACTTTGACAACAAACCCGACTCTCCATTCACACTTCGCTTTTACCTATAGCTTGTGTTATATACAAGTGACAAACTGATGTTTAGATGTTCAGCTGACCTCTATTATTAGTACAATGTGTTGGACTGAATTATTATTGTTGTAAATTCGGCATTTTTTAAAATTAAGTACTATTTTCGAAAGCGATCGCTCCATTACTGAAAATCTTAAAATACACATGTTTTTTAAAAGAAATTCCAATATACACATGTTTATGAAAAATTTTCAAAATACACATGTTTGGGCATCAATCATCATTGCGGTCGTCAATTGTAGTGAATGCATTCACCGCGGTTGTCAACCGCGGTGAACGTCAATTGTAGTGAATGCATTCACCGCGGTTGTCAACCGCAGTGAATGTATTCATCGCGGCAGACGAAAGCGGTGAATGCATCATCGCGGTTGACAACCGCGAATGTCTAACCTAACATTGAAACTTCAAACGAACGTAACTTTGAGTTCGGTTATCCGATTGTAGTGATTTTTTATTCCTCTTAACTTTTCAAGATCTTACAATCTGCAAAAAGCCTTCGTCCCAAAAAAATGTCGCTTGCTACCCCCGAACGAGCACTTTTTTTTATTTTGTCATACTTTGGAAGACCATAACTTTTTGTTCCTCAATCTGAACGTCATAAAGTTTTTTTTATCGTGCATAAATTTTTAAGAACTACAACTTTTACTAAGAAAGAATTTTTTTTAAAAACTTTTTTTGTGGGTATTTGGGATTTTGTGAATAACTTTACCTTTACTTTTCACAAATCCACATACATTCCAAAATTATGGTTATGATCAAAGTTGTAGTCCTTCAAAAGTTATGTGAAATAAAAAAATTCATGACATTCAGATTGCGGAGCACAAAGTTATGGTCTTCCAGAGTTTGTCGAAATGGAAAAATTGCTCGTTCGGGGTAGCAAACGACATTTTTGGGGATGAAGGCTTGTTTCATATTGAAAGATCTTGAAAAATTAATGTGGAATCAAAAAAAATTCGCTACAATCGGATAGCCGAGCACATAGTTACGTTCGTTTGAAGTTTCAATGTTAGGTCAAGCATTCACCGCGACCGTCAACCGCGGTGATGCATTCACCGCTTTCGTCTGCCGCAGTGAATGCTATGGTTGACAACCGTAGTGATGCCCAAACATGTGTATTTTGCGAATTTTTCATAAAACGTGTGTATTTTGATATTTTTTTTTAAACATGTGTATTTTGAGATTTTTTCCCACCATTACCAATATGTTAGATATGGAAGATTTGGATCAAATTAAATCAAAGGCTTCACACTGATTAGGATAAACATATACATTGAACATGATACATCATTGTGGTTAATTATAGGATATGGACGAGCCATATAATTAATGACCCTAACCGACAGCTGCACGTCCCTTAGTCACATGACTAAGTGAATCTTAGCCCTTGCACCTCATTAAAATCCAATGGCTCAGTCACATGTAGTAATTGCACGACTTAATTAATTTTCAATTATTAATTAATTAAAAAACTCTATTGTCTGCCGCATCTCTTCCCCGGCTGGGATTTCCTGGCGTCTCCCGTCTGTTCCGCCGGCCAGGAATTCAGAACCGCTAGCCAGGGATCCAGAAAATTTTCGACGCTTCTTTCCGGTACCAGGCGGCGCCCGCCATTGCAATTTTCCGCAAAGAGGGGGCCTGGGAAATATATTACCCTTCCATAGAGTTCCTCGCTCAGAGAGAGAAAGAAAGAGAGAGATGATTTTTCGACGCCGACAAATTTTCTGGCTATCGGAGATTTCCGACGACAACTTTTGATTTGTTATGTTTGTTGGACGATTTTGTAATGTTTATAAGTATGTTTTGTGATTTTGTAACAATTCGTTTTATATCGTTTATCATTTTAGTTTGTCATTTTTATCTAGTATGTTTGTAATGTTTATATGACTAATTTGTATATATTGCCATTTGTAATGTTTTGTTTGTCTAGTTTGTATACTCTATGTTGTGATTTGTATATTTTGTATTCATTGATTTGTTATACAAGTTTACTGTTTTGTATTGTAAGTAGTGGCATTTTGTACTGTTAGTATGTTTGTAATGTTTGTCGGTCTAGTTTGTATTGTTTGTATAGTTCGTATGTTTTGTATTGTTTGTACATATGTTTGTACGTTTTGTCGTTCTAGTTTGTATTGTTCGTATATTTGTATGGTTTGTACTGTTTGTAAGTCCAGTTCGTATACTTCAATTACCCAACCTATCACTTATATTCCCATACACCAATTTAAAAAAAGACATTAGAATAATCATTTTTTAAAATTTCAGGGGTGTCCCTCACTACCAATTATAAATTTTTTACCGATACGTAAATTACTACCGTGGGCTGAATAATCGTTTACCCAAAATTTAGGGGTGTCCCGGCAGTGGCGGATACATGGCACTTTGAGAGTGTCTCGGAACACTCCCTAAATTTTGGGAACACGATTATTCAACCCCCGATAGTCTTTTGCATATTGGTGTAAAAATCTTTTTAAGTGATAGCAGGACACTCTTAAATTTTGGGAAAATGATTCTCCAACCCCCAATAGTAGTTTGCGTATGTGTAAATAAAAACGTTTAAGTGGTAGCTTATATGATTTGAACTTGGGTCGCTGCTGTTAATAGAAAATATATTTTTCATTAGATCTCAACTTATTTGTTCTTGTATTTTAAATCCAAATATACTAGTAAAAAGCTATTCCTTATTCACAATTATTTTCAAATACTAACGATTAAACTCTATTACCGACTCTCCTTGTCTAGTAGGATATATCGAGAGAGATTTGTAGAGCATTGTTAGACACAAATTTTACAATTTTTTCAGAATACGAAACACATCATGTGCTTTGTTGTATTTTATACAAGGTAGATATTTTCTATTTAATAATTAATTAAATTTATTTTTTAGATGAGGACACCCCTATCTAAAATTTCTGGATCCGTCACTGTGTCCCGGGACACCCCTAAACCTCCGTGCGTCCGCCCCTGGTTATGGGTTAGGTTGATCTTAATGATGTGGAGGGTTTTAATGACGTGCTAGGTCGAGTTCTGCTTTTGTTGGGTTAAATCCGGTTGATTAGGCGATTATGTTTGTCACGTCAGCACTGAACGGACTCCATTAACGGAGTTGGACGGAGACTAACGAAGAGTGACCAAAGATGACATGTTGTACTAAACTTAATGACCATTATTGATATTAATTTTTTGGGTAATGTCTATTTTTTATCCAAACCTTTTTTAGATTCTTTTATATTATCCAAACCTTCGAAATACTAAGAATTAGCCAAATGTTAACTTTCATCTAGCAATTTTATTAGTAATATTAAAATGGCAATATGAAACTGATTTGGAAGAGACACATGAAGGTCAACATTCCAAAAAATTTGTATTTTAACTAAAAAAAGAGTTACAAAACTATTAACGATAACGTAAAAATGGCTAATATTTTGATGCATTATGAAAGATTTGGCTAATTAATAGCATTTTGATAGGTTTGGATAATATAAAACAATCCGGAAAAGGTATGGATAAAAAATAAACATTATCCTAATTTTTTCCAGTGATTAAAAATATGACACGTCGTAAACCCAGTGAACAAACTTAGAATTCACCCGTAAAATTGGGTATCCATGGTGATTGGTGGAGTGCAGATCCAATGACTAAGGGGGTGCGTAGTCACTTGACTAAGTCCCTCCCAGCCCTTAGATCTAGACACACCAATCTTACGGTTAAAAAGTGGTAAGGGTTATTAAATTAATGACAAGGGTAGTTTGGGTATTATGGAAAATTATGCAATATACAAACCGGACTTACAATCAATACGAACATACAAACAGTACAAACTACAACGACAAAACATACAAACAGATTTACAAACATTACAGACGTATGAACTGTACAAAAAATACAAACTAGACCGACAAACAATACAAACCATACAAAAAAGAAAAAAACAATCGTGACTTT